TTTATATTATAAGGAATACTGTTTTTATATAAAAAATTTAATCTCTATATTTTTGCTCTTTCAGCGTGTAATATCATAGTCTTTTTTGCCATAAATTTTGCATAATATTATACATAAAAAATAAATCGAAAAATTAATCAAGAATGTCGAAGTAGGATTTCTTCACGGATTTTCCTGTGAAGAAATATGATAGAAGTGACCCGTTGACACACTGATCGGGACGAGTTCGTGTCAATGAAGTCTTTTTAAGATCGCAACCGGTCATTCCGTTCGATGCAATCAAGTGCTATTTATCGGCACATATTAATGGAAAATGTTTCTACGTGTTTCTTCATTTTACGCGTAAACAAGTAACGGAGTTCACGGCCACTACGATCTCTCGAATACGAGCCGCAGCGGCCAGGGAAGCCGTGAGAATGTAGGTGAATCGCATAGCAAGCGCCCGCCGTCGTAACGAACGGAATGCAGTCTCGCTGAGGCTCTCGCGGCGGCCCCGGGAATAGGAATATTCTGCATCTTCGCGGCTATCTCGCGGCACGCCTCGGCCAGACGAACGAAACGTCGCTCGCATGCAATCGTACTCGAAATAATTAGCGGCCAGATGAGAGAGTACCTACGCGCGGCGAGCACAACAACGACGGTACTTTTACTTCGCTAATTAACTTCTTCCAGAGCATTTCTTGTCGAATCGCTCGCTTTGAAGACGTTACAAATATAGGGAGCTGAAACTGCTCAAGGAGCAGCAAGAACGGCGTAATTTCGTATTTGATACAAAATCTAATAGAAAAGCAGGGAATTTGCAGGCGTGTCTTGCGTGAAATTACATTGCTCTCGCTTTGACAAAAATGGATTTTCATTTTCTGTATATATATTCCATTAATTGTGGCGATTTTTTTTAAATTTTATATACAAGGACAATATTATCTAAAAATATTTCAAAGCTTAAACATACTTTAATATACATGCGTCTGCATCAAGTGCTCCATGATTGACTACATGTTGATTAAAATTGAGTTCCATGTAATTCTATGTGCCTTGCTAAAGTGTCGGCAGTCACGTTTGTAATAAACGTTGCAAGAAAACGGATGTTGCTAATAAGTAGAAGGCGACGGCGAGATGTATAAGCAGGACTGTAAAGATAAGGTTCGCATAGTCGGTTGTGGAAACTGCAGGCTGCCAGAGTTAGCATGACAAATGGCAGTTGGTGTAAAGAACCGAATGTCAGAAAACAAAGTAGTCGTTCGCGGTGGCACATATTTCCGAGGGACACGGAACGCGTACTGCGCGGCGAGGTGAAGCGCGCCTCGAGCCACAGCGAGACCGTCGCGAGAGGTGGTGAACGTGAAAAAAATATTACCGGTCTCAGAAATCTTGTTACCACCGGCGATATCGGCGATACTGACCCGAGACCAACATTAGCGTGATTAAACACGCGGGTGACCTCGAGAAGCATGACCGATTGAGCATGGGAGTCTGCGACCTGTCCTGTCTAATTCAGAAGATCGATCCGGTTCGCACGGCCCCGGCGAATTTCCCATAAAACGCACGCGGAATAATTCTTACACTAAAATCTCCCAAGTAATCATCTCTATTGTTTGCGCCGCGCGAAACTAACGAATTCGAGCGCCGCAATTGTCACGCTCTTTCAGCTCGCTGTCGGTGCCCGAGATTTTTCATTTTCACATATTTAGAATAATAAGCGTTTAACTCTTTTTTTTTCTGCAGATATCCCGTTTTTCTCGACCACTTTTAGATCGACTAATCGTTGAGCTTCGTCTAACACGCCTTAAAAGAACAGGTAAGAAACCTGACAGGGGTTATCCGCGGGGACGCGTATACCGAGCTATGCGCCGTCTCTCGAGGCGGTAACGGCAGACTTAACGGTATCCCATTCCAGCCCAATATTTATTCTTTTCGCTGGCGAAATGCGATATTTCGTATCCACCTGGTGTAATTTGTCGATGCGGTATTGCAAAATACCGAACGCGCGCGAAACGAGGATTGACATCGCGTGAAAGTGACAACACCTCAAAAGAGCATGGATTGTTTTATAACAGCTGGTAGTCAGTGACATGTGATGAGAGCGCACGCGATTCCGCACAGCCATGTAATTCACAAATTACGAGAAAATGTATGTGAAATTATTGGCAAAAGTTTAAATTGCAGCATTTCGATGCGTTCAACATTTTTTTTTTCATAAATTCCTTATCGGATTATTTTTATGAATCGGATCATTCCGCTTTCATGTTTCAAGTATTATAATTCGTCTTTCCATTTCGTATGAAAAATGCTAGCCTAAAATCTGAAGATCTCATCTACTTTCGATTTTCGTTTCCGGCAATTCGTAATAGAAACGAATATTTCGTAGGTTTTTAAAGTAACGAGTTTCTGGGAGGATGAAATAGTCTCGTTTCTGTTCTACGTAGTTTTGAACACGTAGCAATTTCATGACACTTTCACGGTTGGTGCGGTTGGGCGAAAGTCAGGGAGTGATGAAACTCTATACCGGATACTCTCCGCGGTGTCGTTGCTCCTGCGCGCACGTTTGCGATGACGTTAGTGGCTTCATGCAAATATCTCTCCTTGCGCAAGTGGGAAGCCCCGTATAACGGCGACAGAATCCACGAAAGCTGCGCGAGTGACGCGTCAATCGATGAGTCTTTCACCGACGAAAAGAAATGCTTACACCATCGCGTGACATAAATATTAAACATACAAAAGTACAGCGCGCAATACGCGTTGGTTTTTACAATTAAAACAATTTTAACATTTAGAATTAATCTTTATATCATAAATCGTTGTTAATTACATAATGCGTCGAAGCGACACAAATGAGGAAAAATATATTAGCGAAATATATGAGCAAACTATATTAACGGCATAATTCCGATGGTTCACAACATAGAACGAATACCGAAAAGCGTATAATGTTAAATTCGTGAAATTTTACATCAATTAAATAACTTTCAACGAACTTTCAACGAGATCAATGACTGAATTTAATAAACTGTTTTACATATACACCTAGCAAATTGAACAATATTATAGGCAATAAAATTAAAAAAAAAAGTGTTGAGAACTACACGAATTTTTGCAATCATTAATGATAGAAGTAACATGGAAAACGGTGTCTATTTCTGTAAAAATTTATTTAGAAACTTTAAACAAGGCAGCTTACATATTACACACTTGTGTAAAGCACACGTTTCGTATAAATAGTACATTGCAAAGAAAGAATGTTACACACGTCTTTCAGATTGTCTTGCTCGTTTTAGAAGCAGATGGTGGCGTAAATAGAAAAAATGTGAGCCACGTTGAATTACTTGTTCAATTCCTACAGTTTTATGCGGGCCTTAAAACCGTATTGACGAATCACGTATGCATGTGCGCATTTCGTAACGTCAGCTTTTTAATCTGAGATGTGAAAATCTCCAACAGACAACTGTGTGCTTGAACGTAAGCGTGTGTCATGCTCACAGCTTTCTCCTGCGACGACAAACGGATACATTTGTAATGTAGTCGTAATAAAACGATTTAATTTATCTAAATGTTTTGTTAATAATTAGAAAACTTAAATTTGAGCGATAAGAACGCGCGCGCGCGCGCGCAAACAATATAATAATTTTTATTAGAATGTCTTTAAATATATTTAATTAATATTATTATTTTTTTATTTTCATATAAGTAAACTAAAATATTTAATTATATGATTTAGAAGTAAAAATTGTTTTTATTTTTTAAATATATTCAAGATTATTATTGTAAATTTTTTAAAATATATTTTTTTAAATATTTTAAAATGTTTTTAATCTTTTAAATGATTTTAATGCTTTATAGCATATTCTTTTTTATGTATAATTATTTTCACGATGTTAACAAGAAAATAATTTATTTCGGTTTAATTAATTATTTTAAATCTTTATTTTTCTATGCGTACTCTGTAGTTAATCGTTCATATTATCGAATATATTTTCTAATTGCGTCTATGTTCTACAGAATCTATTTATAATCCTGATTTTACGATTCATGTAGAATTGAAACCAGACGTAGCACGACTATAAACAGCATACTAAAGCACTTATCTCTTCAGGTAACACTGACGCATACACTTCAACGAAACCGGATGCACATCTACTTATGCATCCGCGTCACTCGCATAAATTTTTCACGTTTGTTCAAAATAATGGGCAACAACGTTCGTTATATTATACATAATTATAATTATTAAAATCTTTATGGCTTACGTTCAATTGTCTGCAAATAAACAGAGAGAAACAATTTAACAATTCTCGACAGAAAAGTGGGTAAATATTCCTGAATTGCTTAATAACCACGTGCATTTGACGAAGCGTCGCTTCTGCGTTCTTGAACCTGTTGAAATTTTCGGTGGAGGTCAAGATACCGGTTTCGAGCATGCCGACACGTTGCTTGCTTATAAACCTATCGGACAGGTTCCAGATACTTGCGTTTTTCTGCAAGTTACTAATTATCTCGCGCCCAAACTGCGACGCGGGAATATCTTAAGCTTGGCATTAATGTCACCGCGATGGTATCACACTGCGATCGTTGACATCTCCACCGCGTGAATCTTTATATATCATTCATAAATTATATTTAAGTATATGTGTGCAGAGATCGCCTGCTCAGCTTGAATCTAAAAGTTTTATTTTCAATCATTTATACTTTTATTTTTATTATCTTTATAAATGTCGTATATTTATTAAACTTAAAAAATTTCTAGATTCAACTTGTGCTTCATTAAACATCACAGCCTTCGCTGAATTTTCCATACTATTACATTATTGACATAATCAAAATGCGTTTTGATGAAAATGTAATAGTTTTTCAAACATTTAATTTTTATAGTTAAACTTCTTTCATAAATTTCAATGGAATTTAGAAACTCATCAGAAAGCGTTTAATAGAAGTCCCTTATCTAATAGTCTCGTCTCTCCCGTTATCGTGGCTTACTACCCTATCCCAACCTTTTCCGTACTTACCCAATAATGTAAGGATCGTCAAGGTCACGAGGACCGTCGATCCAATGAAGCTCGCCATGATCGCCAATTGCTATCGCAACTCCGCTCTCTGCACAATCTGGGATACTAGGATGTCAGGAGCGCAATATCGCGTAGACCTTTCTTCAGGATTTCGCGTGCCCGAACCGGTCGTCGTCGATTCGAAATAATTCGTGGTGTTTATTAATGTTCGCCATTTTGTATTATAAGTCTACGGCGAGCCGCTGCTGGACATCAGGAGAGCCGACTTCACGGGCGCTGCCTGTGGCATGCCATTCCTTCTTTTCTCTCCTCTTTCCCCTCTCGCTTGTCCTTCCTCTTGTTCCTGTTTTTTTTTCTCTTACTCAGTCTCGCACTCTCGCGCACGCCGGTTGACCTACTTGGCGGCGGATCAGACCGGTGTACACGTCAGGTTTTCGGCCACTGCGCCGCACCGGGCTTTAATTTAATATGAAGAGCCTTAAGTCCGTCTCATGCAGTTGGCTCTATTCTCTCGCTTATCGTGAGGTACGCTTTATCTTGTCGTTTTATTGTCAACTGCCTCGTTTTATCGTTTCTCAGAATTTTTCATAAATGATTTTTTTCTGATTTTCGAACAAACTTTAAAGTCTTTCAATATAAAACGTAACAGTTATAAAATACATAAAAATTTTTAATATTAATTAAATAAAAAACAAATAGATGTATATATTCAACAAAGTAATTTCAACAATTATTGGCAGCAAATTGACAAGAATGAGTCAAAAAGTGTCAGTTAATTTTTTAATTCCGTTGTGAAATCGTATAGAAATTTAAATATAATTTCTCCGACTGGAATATAATATCTTTTATGAAAATCACAATGTTTTGCGATATGAGATTATAAATATCATATATTTATAAGTTCACTTTTGAATGCAGTAACTTTCTCACTTTAGATGCCGTTATCAGTTTGTTATAAAACACAATCAACAAATTAATTTTCGTTCAAGTGATAGATTTTCGATATATTGCACTTCACACTCGAAACACCTTGGTACAATTTTCTCCGGATTCGATTCCCACCGCAGACATACGCGAAGAGCACATTGTGCCGAACAAGATTCACGAAGAGATTGGGCCAGACAATTTTTTCCCCAGAAAGATAAAGCGATGTCCGTTATTTTTCATCCCGTCAGAATCCGACAATCACTGAAAGGCGCATTGGTGCTCGTGTCTTGGTCGGTGTCGCTGAATATCCTGAGGCTCCGACGTGACAAGGACTCAAGGTCCCAAACGTGCACCATCCGAGATTCACTTCACGGTCGTTCACACGGGACTGGCTCGAGCTGAGGACGGTCATACACGGTCTCTCCCACTTTAACTATGCCATAGCTACGCCATGGTGCATTGTACACTGCCGAGTATGTACGTCGTCACGTCTTCGTGGCTGACTTCCACCATACCCGGCTCTCTACCACCATTCGTGCACTGTAGAACAGACCTTTCCCCACTACCATGAGTCTTTCTCTCTTTCTCCCAACATTTTCTGCAGCGAAGCGTGTCTACCTGCGCCCGATACTGTACACCTTTCGGCCGTAGTCCATGTTGTATCAGTTTTCTAAATTAAGAGACAGTTAGTCCTCCGCAGCGATGAGATAACAGAAATGAAAAGCTGCAGCAAAACAGAACCTTTCAACTCCGACAGGATACTCTTATTAGTTTAAAAAACAATTTTGATCTTCAGTTAGATGCTGATGTAATTTCTTTTAGAGAAGAGTTTTAAACATGAGAGAAACCGGACCTCCGGGCCACTTCAAAGTTTTCTAACGGAAGTAGAAATCTTGGTTGAAATCTTTTTTTGCAAATTATCGATAAGCGTTTTATAATTTAGATTAGGGAAAAGATTAGTACATAAGTAATCATTACTAAAAAATTTATAAGTCATTATTTTTCAACTAAGGCTAAAACATAAGCTGTACGGAATAATACTCGCATTTAAATTCACGCCAAATTGCATGCTTAGTACTAAGCGTGATTGCCTAGTTTCTTCCACGTCTTTCGTGACTTCCTAGTTTTTACTCATTTAACATGCAAAAGCCTTTTGGAATTATGATAAATTGGATAATTATTACATAATGTATATCTTGCTCGGTAAGCATTAAAAATATGTAATGCATTTTATCAGAATGAGGTAGATTACATAAAAATCAACAATCGATGACGTCAAACTTTTATTTTTTTTACTTCCTTATGGCATTCAAATAATTGTTATATAATATATATTTAAATTAAGAATTGAATAGAAATTATAGTAAAATGAAATTATTATATATTTCCAATCACTATATCATTATAGTTTTAATTTTATCAGATTTTTCTAATTTTAATTTTCTTACGATTGTCAACACTAAATCATTTTTCTCATGTAGATTTTTAATTGCTGTCATTAAGAATTATTAAGTGCATACTTGCGCTGCTATATTTCATGGCATGATGCATGCTTTACAGCTGGTCATTTCATTTATGTGTGTAATTGCTGAAGAAAATGAAATAAGCGTGATGTCGCGTGTGGCATTTGATGATTTCTTCTGATATATAGGCACTTAATTATGCTATCAACAACAGTTATCGTATAATTTCACAATTTCTATTAATTTTGTTCATATTTTATTTAGATTTTCAAAATCAAGTGATTTTTTTGAAAAATACAATTTATTATACTTTGAACTCATTAAAAAAAAAAACCTGTTGAAACATTTGATACACAGAAGTAATTAAATAAATTAAAAACCATTTGGTGTACGTAAAGTCGCGCACATGTGCACTTAACGGAACTCAGTAAATGCATCGTGAGCATGGGAGCCTCGCTTGTACCGAGATGTCATTAGTGTACTTCTTTCTTGCAATATTATGAAAATTTTTAAATCTTCTAAATTAACCCTCATTTTCTAAATTAGCCCTCCATTCTTATTGTTCTGACTTTAGATTTTTTTTTGTATTATAATAAAAACTAATAAATAATTCAACACTGCAATTTTAATTATTTATTGCAAAAAAAGTAAAATCTTTAATAAACTTCTATTATTACAAAAATTTATAATTAATAAATAAACATTGATGAATATGTGTTAATCTTTCCAATTTTATTAAAGTTCGATGTTTAAATAATCTTAAAATAAGAAAGGTGTTATCTCTTATCGAGAAAATAAACGAGTAAAACATAATAAAGTGAATTTACAAATAATAAAATATTATAAAATTAACAATTAGTAGAATATAAATGTAAAAATTACGCGCACGTCTCGATTAATATGTTGGTCAGTACGTTGTATAGTCCACTTCTTTCGATTTTATCCCGCCGCATAAAATATAAGAAATGCACACATAATCTATGTATATACGTTTTATTTTATTAATGAATGTAACGTACTTAATTCAGAATTGGTCAGTTCGCTATAACTGAAACTCCCGAGTACATTGTGCACGCACAAGCATATTTTTCTGCTTTGAGTAAACAGAAGATGTACCGATGCCTTACTCTTTCTCCCGTTGTTATGATAACTCGCGTGCCCATATCCATTACTCCATTTTTTTACGCTTTGAAACTTGAAGGCACTGCTTTAATCGTATGTGATTGTTGCCATGATAAACTCGTTATGTAAATTGTTTAACATTAATGTAAATTAGAGATTGAAAAGATATTAATTTGATTACTTTGTTTAATTATACATATTTAATTATATTACTTAAGTTAATATTAGTTTAAATTATTTTAATTCATTTAAATTATTAATAATTTACATTTCAACTAAATAGGAAATAAATGTAAAGATAAATGGTATTCCCCAAAAATGCAGACAGGTAAAATATTGGTTCTTTTTGTGCGATTTTAGAGATATTATTAGCAACTGTAAGGAATCTTGTGAAACATCGCGATGAATGCAAAGGCGTAGGATTGTAATTCGTATTCCTTTCACCTGTCTTTGCCTAATTTGGTTAAAAATATTTAACGAGTTTTTGATATCAAATATTAAAAATGTGCATTTTAAAAATGTGAATATTTATATCTAATTTTATAATAATAAAAATTTTTATACATAATTTTACATAAAACAGCAATATATTTAATTTTAAAGAATTATATATTTCAATTAATATTTTATTCATATAATTTGATAAAAATAGAATTATTGATATAATCTTTTAAAAATAGAATTATTTCAAAATATTGCTTTTATATGTAGACTGAACTGGCCTGCTTTTCTAACTCGTAGCTAATTTGTGAAAGCTTGACAGCTGAGAGACGTACGCCGCGTACGGCTCCTTTGCTTTCTGGTTGTTCTGCATCATTCTTTCACCGGCTGATATGTGCACATTTGCGTTGCTGTACTATTATATTTCTTTATCATCATTTTTCTTCATTTCCTTTTATCCTCTTTTTAACATGGCAAAAGTAAATTGAAATGAATATGAATTGCCTCGAAAATTTAATAATATAAATTTTCAGCACACAATATCATCGCTAATAGCTTGTACGTAATTTAAATAGATAGTATAAGAGCAACATATATTTACAAGGCTATATTATGTATTATACAAGGTGTCTCAAAATAATTTTTATTATTTTTTTAATTATAAATTTTTAGAATCAATTTTTTTGAACAAAAACATGATTTATTATTTAAAACAAAAACACATTGAAAGATTTTTACATAGAAAGAATTATATTTATTGTGCAAAAATTATATAATACGAAATCTGTAATGGAAAAATCAAGTTTTAAATGAGTTAAAAATGTTTATCTCAAACAATAGAAAAGCATTTCTCCTTCGTCATTAGCCAGGATCTGTTTCTCGATTGACCTCACGTATCGGCACACCCGTTTCTATAAGCCACCACACGAACTTTGATGGGATTGTCCGCATTGCAATATACGGCGCACGAAGAATTAAAATTGCATTTCTATGTAACGGGTAACCCCTTGGCCAAGTATGCATGAAATTACGCGGTCAGTAACTGATTCTCATCCGGGAACAAAGAATAGAATAGGAAGAAAATTGTCTTTGGGGGAGTGGAATTTTCCTCATGTATGTATATTAAATATTTATTTATGTCAGTATTTCAATTATATACATTTATTGCATTCGTATTGTTTCTGTTGGAAGATGTGCGCGATTTTTAAACTAAATAAAATATAATATTTCTAATAATTATGCAGTATATACATTACAGCTTAATTTAATCATATTTAATCATAGTACGTGCAAAACTATGCTTTACTACTTTTATTATAATACGCTGGTAATGATAGTTATTTTAACTCACATGTATAATTCAGATACAGATAATTATTAACTGCTGGTAACAAGATTGCTTAGAGTCTTGATTTCACTCTACTTCATAGTAAAAACAAAAAAATAATTAAAGGTACTTTATTATTAATAAATAAAATACATTTTATATGTGAAAACAGATTTATACTAATCTTATAGATATTGAATAAATTACGATATTATAATTACGGTAAAGAAATATATTTAATAAATAAAAAATCCTGAATTATAATATTATGTTAATATATTTAAATATAAAATTAAGCAACGCGGTTTTAACTATTTATTTCAGAGCACGCAAAAATGTAGTTTTTTTATTATTTATCATATATTGGTACAATTATATGTT